AAGTTTCTTCACCATCTGAGCCACCAGGTTAAACTATATAATTTTCTTAAAATTTTTTCTTGGCAATAAAGTTTCAAAGGTATGCTACCTTCTTAGACAAGCTTCAGTATTTTCCAAATTTCACTTGTTTTATGTTTTTTATTGCTTTCAAGTATATTTGTAAACTTTCTAAAAGTAAATATGACTGGGGAAATACCTGTGCAGAGGCATAGACCAAAGATATGTATGCATATATATATTTGGTATAGTACAGATATAATACAGGTATTTCTCAGTCATATTTACTCTATGAACTTATATAGAGAGTTACATATATTTATAATTATATAAAATTATCTATATACAATTTCATAAAGTCAGATTTATAAACATAAGGAAGAAATGCAGTGTTCACATGTCTCTGCCTTTAAACCATGACATAAGCTTCTTAATTTAGTCTACTTTAGAACCTGTGAGTACACTTGATTTAAAAAGAGGATAAGGAACCTCAGTGAGTGATGTTCCACTTTATGGAGAGTGAGTAGGCCTTGAGTTGCTATTGAAAGCTAACTTTCCACCTGTAACCATAGCAACATAGGCTAAAAAGGGAAAGATCGCTGAAACCAATCGATATTTGGGCAGGTCTCAGGAAAGACCCATCAGCCAATGTTCTCGCCTCTCTGAAAGGTCAAGCTGCGCCCTTTTGTACTGAGCCCCGGGTTGGGGAGGGCCACAGAGCACCTCTCTGAGTCTTCAGGCAGGGTGTGCTTGCAATTGCTCATTCTGATTTTGAAACCAACTGGAGACATGGACTTTTCACTGTTGATGGTGCTTTCAAAATTCCCAAGTCCAAATCCTAATCAAGCTGTGTCCACCCCTATAAAATAGAGGGAATTACCCAGAGTATTCAGCCTGTGGCTGAAAAAGGCCCTTGATGGGAAGCTGAGTGCACGCCAGCAGCCCTCCCGTGTTGACCGAAACTCAGTGTATTAAGGATTACTTTGTGGTAGTTAAGAGCTTCGCCTCTGGATCAGACTCCCTGGGTTTGAACCCGACCTCTACTACCGTGGCAGGATAAAGACTGCCACACATGCTTTGAGACTCTTTTCATACACAGGTAAGGTCTGTGCCCATCTCCTTGAATGTTAGAGGATTCTGGTGAAGAGAATAGGACACAAGTGACTCTGTTCCAGTTTCTGACTCAGGTTTTGAGAAAATGATAGCTTCTATTTCTTGTCTCTTGAGTCATCACGTAAAATCTCACTTTGCTGTTGTTCAGTTGCTAAACCACGACCGACTCTTTGAACTCCACCGACTGCCGCATGCCAGGCCTCCCTGTCCCTCGCCACCTCCCAGAGTGCGTCCAAATTCATGCCCACTGAGTCGGCAATGCCATCCAACCGTCACATCCTCCGCAGCCCTCTTCTCTCACCTCTTGCCCCAATTGGGCGTCCGGGGCTTTCCCAATGAGTCGGCTGTTTGCATTAGGTGGCCGAAGTATTGGAGCGACAGTTGCGGCCCCCTAAGACTACAGGGGGAAGAAAGGGGCCCTGCTGAGTGCAATCATATCACCCTTCCCATCAGGGCAAGTGAAGCCGTGTGCGAGTGAAGCCGTCTTGGGCCCCACAAATCAATGCAATGCAGGCCCCAGCTGAACAAGAGCGAAGAATTCCAATGGTACTACCGAGAGCTGAAGAATTACCTGATCTACTTTAAAACAAGCTAGTGCTACTTCTTCTGCTAAGGAGCAGTTAACTCATTTAACCTCTGTGCATGATTTGTTTTTTTAATCTCTTGTGACAAGTAAGAGGCCGTAATACTGTGGGGTTGTGCCAGGCCTTGCAGCAGGTGGGATCTCCTATCTTCATTGTGGCATGCAGACTTTTGTTTGCAGCATGTGGGATCTATTTCCCTGACATAGGGATCAAAGGCCGGCCCCTGCTTTGGGAGCTCGGAGTCTCAGCTGCTGAACTGCCAGGGGAGTCCCACCGGTTGTGAAGCCAGTGAAGTCAGAAAGCAGGTTTATTTTGTTCCCTAGGACAGCACCTGGCACACGGGTGGACCAGGGTGGGTGCTTCACACTTACGGGTTGCACTGCCTGGCACTGAATTTATGGTTCCTCATCAACTGCCAGGCGAAGAGCTTAGCAGACTGAGAAACACTGATGAGTGTCACCCCAGTGTGAACGCATGTCTCCTGCAGATGGTCACGGCTGCCTGGCAAACATCTCCCAGTCCTATGCTCATTGACTTAAGGATGGAGTGCCTGCATCACTCCTAACGTCTAGGAACCCGTGGACTTTCTGTGGCTGAATCTGCTGCCAGCAAACTCCCAGATGATGTGGTCCAGGAGGGCGGCTGCCAAGCTCCTATTCTCCTTTACTTTCTACAAGGATCCCTTTCCGTCCCTTCGAGAGCTGCCATCTGCTCTCACTTCTGCGGTCTTCTTCCCGCAGAACAGGAACCAAAGTGGGGCTCAGCCTCAGCCACCTCATCCGCACTGTCTCTAAAAAGCAGGGCTCTAGCCCCTGCGGTTCAAGGGCTTCACTGCTAAACAGAGAGAACAGCAAACAAGTACGGGCGCCACAGGCTCATTGTCAGAATCTCACGAGTGTCTTGAGCAAGGACCCAGCCCTTCCTGAGGGTAAACTTCACCAGGCTCCCTCCCCTCACCTCCCCCTTCCCCAGATTAGATTGCCACTTCCTGCTTGCAGGTCTAAAGGCACAATGAGTTGTTGAACAATAAATGAATTAATCACCCTCGAAGTGTCTGAAGTCAGGGCATTCCAGAAGGGTGACTATCCCACAGCGTTTCCTCTTCTGCATACAGGATATAAATGACCTCTGGCCTCTCCCTCATAGCTCCTCATGTACCACGTCTTTTTAAAAATCATGGAAGAAACCTCAACTGTGGTCCATGGTATCTTCTACTTTCACCTGTTCACTTAGTGATCGGTAACCCGTGTTACTAGTCTGAAAAGTCCAGGGCATCAGGGCTGTGTTGACCAGTGTTATTCAAATTTCCTGAGTAACTTCTAGGGGCAAAAGTCTCTGAAGAAAGAAAAAACTGCCCAGGCTCCAAAGGGGAGCTGCCTAGCTCCAAGATGGCATCTACAAAGATCAGCTCCATTCTTACTTCCTGAGAACTTTGGACTTCCTCCTGGCACTTTCAGAACTCCTTGTCAAAGCTGGTGGGTTACAAAGAAAGCTTGTTTGCACCTGCTCAGAGTGTTGGAAAGCAACAGCCAAGCAAAGTGATAACAGTCTTTATCTGCTGGTGGTAGGAACGTGGCTGGTTTTTCTTCCTTCTGCTAATCTGTATAACTGACTTTTCTACCAAAAAAAAAAAAACAAAACCATATTATTAGGGAGACCATAGCCCAGGCGTGGGTGACAAAGAATCTTGTTTTAAAGTCTTGATTCCTTGGCTTATTATACTGGGATGACCTTATGGCATGTATTTAATCTCTCTGGGCCCCAGGGCCTCCCCCAGTAGAAAGGACATGAGATCCTCACAGTCCATGCTTAGTACATCATGCATGCTCAATAAACATTTGTTTTTCTTCTTGCCCCAATGCTGAGACCTCAGAAAGTGTCCTTATAGAGCAACCAATGCACGTTTCATAGAATCTTCAGAGGAAAACACAGCATCCAACCAATCTGACTTCTCTGGGATCAACTAACCATACCTTCCCTGGCCAAGGGTCCCTGACCCAGGGCAGACTGTAGCCCATTGCTTTCCTAGGAACAAGTGGCCCCCTTCATAGTAGGACAGGTCTTATCAAGTTACAGCGTCACTTGCTTTTTATTGAGCTACAACTTGACTGTGAAATTCTACGTGCTGTCTTACTCTTAACCTCTAGGCTCTCAACAAGGGGCTGGCAGGCTCCCCTTCCATCCCACAGCCCTTCAGCTCTTAAGCAACACCAGCACCCAGCAGGCAGGGTCACTGCATGACATAGGGCTTGGTCTAGGCATGGCAGATGCTTTCTTAAAGCGACACACAGCATGTTAGTAACCGAACGCTATCCCAGATGGTGGGCAAGATTTCCAGTAAAGGTTCATCTTACCTCCTCTTACACTTCCTAACTGCTCTTTTAACTTGCCCACTCTACCTCCAATCCCCTCATCAGTATCTTTCCTCTCTTCCATCCAATACCAGCCTCCCTTTCTCCTTACCCTTTTCAAAGATGGAGCTTTTTATTCCTGCATAGAAGATATACTGAACAAGTTGATTGGGAATGGTTTTTGCTAATTCTAGCATGCCAGGTAGGGAAGAAAACAGAACTTAATGGAATAGCAAGTATAGAAATAGAGCAAGCAGACAACAAAATAAATAATCATCCTGATTTTGTCCTTTAAAAAATTCCTGTGGGCCCGAGCTCAGAAATACCCAACTAGACCATCAGATTGTTATTTTCCTACTGAGGAAAACAGAAGCTCTTTCAAATAACTCTTTTGCATTCCAGGCTTTCAGCGGAAAAGGCGAAGACACGCATTGTAGACCATTAAGTACTTAGGAGACATGATTTTAGCTAGGATGTAACTCAATTTTACTGTGATTTATAAAGAGCCTGGGGGAAAATATTTCTTGATTTGGGCAGGCCATTGTCAGATTAAAGGTGCAGTAGGCCCAGATGCTGTTTGTTCCAGCCCTAAGTTCGATTGCAACAAGGCTGAGTGTCTTGTCTGTGCTGGTGGATTATTAACAGAGGTTATTGGTCTCCATGGCAAAATGATTGCAATGAACGTAATCTTATTTATGAGGGTGCAGGGGGAAAAAAAAAATGAGCTTCAGGTCAGGGAGAATATAAATGACCATCACCATCGAGGTTCTGCTACATTTGAGAAGCTGAAGCAACTCCCAGGACACAGCCCACAGGCTGATTTTGCTTCTCGGCTCCAAAATAAGACTTGATCTGGGGGCAGTTGTTACGATTCTGCAGCCAACAGCTTTGAAGAGAACCTGCGAGGAAGGCGGCTGGGGGGCTTGACCGCACACCTCCATCCCACGTCCGCAGCATGTGCACTGGGAGCTGTGCCAAGTGCCTGGGGGGCACCCTCATCCCCCTGGCTGTGTTTGCCCTCCTCGCCAACATCCTGCTATTTTTCCCTGGAGGAAAAGTGATAGACGACAATGACCACCTTTCCGACGAGGTCTGGTATTTTGGAGGAATATTAGGAAGCGGAGTCTTGGTGAGTAAGGAAACCTTAAAATCTCCCCCCAGAGATTTTCACCCTGTCTTTTTAAAGTTGGGAACTTACTGAACAGGAAGAGATTTAGTTGCTAACAAAAGCCCAAGAACTGCATGATGAAATGTTGAGTGCCTCAATTTTTCTCCATCCTCATAGGGACCTGCCGAGGAGTCGCCAGACTTAGGCTGGCAGCTCGCATGGGGCAGTAGACTTCCCTGGACCGAAATGAGTGCCACATGATTTATTTTAACAAGATAAAGATAGGGTGCGCCGTTCTGGGGCGTCGGGGAGTGAATACACTTTTTCTAGTAAATTGATCGAAAACTACCAAGAGAAACAGGAGTCAGTGAATTCCTCTTCCAATTCTTTGGTAATGATTTCTTTATCCCGTATTTCCAACAGAGACTGGGGACTTCTGGTTTAGAGAGAGGAAAAACTCGTGTTTCATGACAATCGAGGACAAGTTTTTCGTCCTTCTCCTAACCCACTATGTAAATGGAAACTCAAGTGTCAGATCTTGATATAGTGCCTCATTGGATTTGCAGTTAGGCCAAATAGAACCTAAATATTCCATAACGCTCGACTACCCACCAGCCAGACTCCATTAGCTGCTGGCCCCCGAGTCCCAGGGTGGAGATGCGGCTCCTCACACAGGCAGGCAGGCATGGGGCGCCCCCTTCACGTGTCAGACCACAAGGTGCTTCTCTTGCTTGCAGATGATCTTCCCTGCCCTGGTGTTCTTGGGCCTGAAGAACAATGACTGTTGCGGGTGCTGTGGCAACGAGGGCTGCGGGAAGCGCTTTGCGGTGAGTGCCTGCGGGGGACGGGAGGGGGAACCAGCCCCCAGACCCGCTCCAGGGGCACTGCCTCCCTGTGCTGGGCATTGAGGGGGTGAGTTACCAGCCCCAGGCAGCACTCCGGGGGCAGCTGCTCCAGGGATCATGACGGGATTCTTGGTGGTGCAAAGTAACAGTCATCATAAATTTTTAAAACCATAGCCTTCTTACTTATAGAACATGAGTACCATTCAAAACATTACAAGCAGCCAGCGATATCAGGGCTGGAAAACTGCAATGATGCCATAGAAAGGATGAAGGCTTGAGGACTTCCCTGGTGGTCCACTGGCTAAGGTGTTGGGCTTTCACTGCAGGGGGCATGGGTGAGATCCCTGGTCAGGGAACTAGGATCCTGAATGCAGCACAGCTTGGCCAAAAGAAAAAACTTAAAAAATAAAATAAAATGCTAACTGAAAGTATAGCCTAATAAAGAGAAGACTGCAGGCTTGGAAGGCAGAGATGGGGGCTGTGACTGCCTCTGCGGCTGAGAAGCCCTGAGACCTCGGGCAAGCTGATTCCCTTCTCTGGCTCTGTGATGCCTCATCTGTAAAGGTGGGGCTGGGACAGGATAACAGATGGTGGCTTCTTCTCTCGATAGCCCCCCAAACTCTCCATTTACACCCCTGCCAGCTTCGCTGCCTCAGAGGCTCAGCACTTCCCTGCCTCTCCCTCAGTTTTGCCCCCAGCCTCCTGTCTCCTCTCTCGTCTCCTGTAGTCTCCCATCTTTAGTGGGCAAGCTACAGAAAATGGGCTTCACCACTCCGAGCTGGGGTGAGAAGCCTGGGAGTGGGGTTGAGTCCCATTTCCTCAGCTGGGGTGCTCTCTGCCTCCCTCTGCCCGTTTGTTAAGATGAAGACATTGGACTAACTCAGAATTTCCCAAGGACAGACAAGTTCTGCTGGCACGCAGATTTGCCTATCTTTCAATAATATAAAAAGTTATTTTCTTTTAATTCTCCTTCAATCCTCTTAATTCTATCAAGAAAACTCTTACTTTGATGGAAAAAAGTCTTTGCTATTTCTAATTCTCTGTAATCTCCCTAACGAGTCTCCAACTCCAGGAATGCGAGAAACATTAACTAGAAATTCAATAATATTGTGTTCATGTGTGCTGATGACTCTAGCTTTTCATTCATAGAGGTGATATAGATGAATAAAATAGAGAACTGATTTAAAGAAAAATATTGAGTTCAGATACATTGATGTGGCAAAAATGAAGAAGACTGAGCCAGAATCACTGGCTGGATGATGGATCAACCAGCACCTGATCCAATCTCCAGTCAGTTGTCCACCAAAAAGAACCCCAATGATAAATTACACATTTCCACTTTTAACCTCTTAAAGGGAAAGGTGTTGCAACTTGTCCTGAAACATAATCATTTCTAACATTTCGCATCATTATTTCCTCATCTAGTCAATGAAAATATATTTGTGCTGTGCTGTGCTTACTCGCTCAGTCATGTCCGACTCTTTGCAACCCCAAGGACTGTAGCCCGCCAGACTCCCCTGTCCATGGGGACTCTCCAGGCAAGAATACTGGAGTGGGCTGCCATGCCCTACTGAATACATGTGAAGGGCTGACGCTGGTGCCCTGTGGATACCATGATGCTTTTCCACTCGAGATCAAGGATCATTCAAAGAGAATGTTATCACTTTTCAAACACAATCAAGCACTGATTATTATAGCAACATTTAAAATCATTATTGACAAAGAGATGCAAAAATCAACCACAATGCATTTTATACAATTGTGCAATTTGCTGCAAATTACAAACAATTATGTAATTTGATACATTTGATTTTAAAATGTGTGTTATTGTTGTTGCCGCTTAGTTACTAAGTTGTGTCTGACTCTTTTGCGAACCCAAGGACTATAGACACAAGGCTCCATGGGATTTTCCAGGCAATACTGGAGTGGGTCGCCATTTCCTTTTCCAGGGGATCTTCCCAACCCAGGGATCAAACTCCCGTCTCTTGCACTGTGGGCGAATTCTTTACTTGTAAGCTACCAGGGAAGCTCCAGTGTGTGTTATATATAATTGTATTTTCATATACTTAATGATAAAGGAAAGAAGTGAATATGTAACTCATTTTCTCTTTGAAATCTAATCCCATTACACCTTGTGGATTTGGGGGGAATAAATCAAAGATAAGAATTTGAAAAAAAAATGAGCAATTAAGGAAATGGATGAATTACATAGAAATCTAACAGCTCATTCCCTGGTGCTGAGTAGAAGGCTGAACATCAGCCAACACAAACCCAGGGTTTTTGTTTCATTTTTGTTGCTGTTGCTTGTGTCACACGTAATCACAGTGAGATGGGAAACAATATTCAAAGTACTGTACAACACATGTTTTTAAATTAGATTTGTGTGAAGTCTGAGAGGAAAGCAGAAAAGTTATTAAGCACAGTTGAGTATATACCATCTGAAACAGCTGGTCTGCTCAATGCAAGTCATCTGACTGGGGTCCCTCACCTCTCCGGGGGATCCGTTCTTGATGTAAGTTGAATACGACTCCTTCCAGGCACTAGCTAACAGTCCACAAGGGCAGTGCCCTTCAGAGGACCAGCTCTGCCGCTTGGAAACCAAGGCACCAGCCTCAGCCACCCTGCACCAGGGGAGAGCACTCTCTAAGTGACCAGCAGAGAGATTTCTTGTTTGGGGTTCATTTGTTTGTTAATCAGCGGCCACCGTTTAAAAATAGATTTCACATATACACAAAAGAAATATAGATATCTTACGTCTTTTAAAAAACAAACAACAAAAAATAACCCGGTGCTCCTGGGCCTATATTTTGGCAAAAAAGAACAGCCACTACTGTGCAATGCAGGAGACATGGGTTCAGACCCTGGGTCGGGAAGATCCTCTGGAGAAGGAAATGGCTACCCACTGCAGTATTCTTGCCTGGAAAATCTCATGGATGGAGGGGCCTGGTGGGTTATAATCCATGGGGCTGCGAGAGGCGGAAATGACTGAGCGACGAACCCAGCACCACCTGGGCATTACTGATCTCTTTGCCCACACCAAAAGGCCACAGGGTTCGTGTCCCTGCTTTAGATGTTTCCTTAATGCTCCGAGGCTCTGAAGCCATAGTCAGTTTGTAAAGAAAGGTATTTACAAACACAGAGGATGCATGGCAACCCACTCCAGTATTCTTGCCTGGAGATTCCCCATGGACAGAGGAGCCTGGAGGGCTGCAGAACATAGGGTCGCAAAGAGCCAGACACAACTAAAGTGACTTAGCATGCATGCATGCATTTACAGACATTTTGTCATACAAAAAGAAGAAAACCCTGCAGCATAATTTGATCAGTTTTATAATGCTAAAGATATGAATTATTTTTCCAAAGGCTCACAATATTCCCTTCCAGGTGTATAAGGAACACTGGGCTTCTGAGAGCACCATGTAAGAAATCCTATTGCGTAGAAAGGTCTGTGAGGCAGGAACAAATTGGGCCAAGAGCTGCTGAGCCAAATCATTCAGCTGTCTTCATAGCTGTCTCTCTGTCATTTGTTTCCTGGTCTGTCTCTCTCTTCTTTGTTCAGTCTTTCTGGAATATTCTTCAGAAATTAGCTGCGTCATTCTCTTCTCTTTCCTTGGGCAGTAAAACCAGGACATAGGAATCAATAGTGGAAGCAGGATGTGAATGCTGTACAGATAAAGCAAGACAATAGCTGGGGGGAAAAAAAATAATCTTGAGATTGCCTGATTGATAGTTTCAGAGTGAAACTAAAAAATGAAGGCTAAACATTCTCTGAGGCAGAGCAAAGACCGAAACCCTGTCCCCAGGATCTGCACTCTTTTAAATAAGTTAGGGTAAATGAGAGCTGAGAAAGGGGAGCCCTGGGATAAAAGCTGTGGGAGGAGGGAGACTTTCAAACTGGGCTTTGAAAACCCTGGTCTGTGTGTGTGGTAGGTCTCACCCTCCTGCCCCCAAACTAGAGGTGTCCTAGCAGCTGATCTGTCCTCTAATTCATTAAAAAAAAAAAAAAAAAAAATTTGACCTCTCAGGGCCCAGTGGGCTTTCCCAGTGGCTCAGCAATGAAGAATCCATCTACAACGCAGGAGGCGCGGGTTCGTTCCCTAGGTGTGGAAGGTCTACTGGAGGGGGACATGGCAACCCACTCCAGTACTCTTGCCTGGGAAATGCCATGGACCGAGGAGCTTGGAGGCTGCAGTCCACGGGGTTGCAGAGTGAGCATGTACACACAGGGTCCAATGGGACAGCTAATTCATTTTATCAGCTCTTTCCTGTTAAGTATGTACAGTAATAAGAGCCTTATGAAACCTTGACCTTAACTCAGAGGAGTGTCTCTAATAATCGGCCTGATAAAGGGGATATTTAGGGGCAGACAGGCATTTCAGCATCCTGAAAGTATATTATGCAGATAAAGGCTCACCCCACCCATAGGCAGGGCCAGTCGGTGCACAGACGCGTCCTGAAGGAAGAGCTTGGTCAGGTCATAAATCAATCTATTCCCTGGAAGTCAGCAGTTCTTCCCGCGTCCGACTCGGCTCGCCAGCGACCCCTAGGGACGCCTCCTGGTAGAGCACTTGTGGCGTCAGTACGTCTGAGGCCAAGAGCATCAGGAGCTGACCGCAGCCTCTGCATTCCATGCAAGGACCGCTAGTTTGAAGGGGATTTAAGAAAGACCCTTCTTGTGAAATGGTTATCATAAAAGAAGAAATGAAGTGTGAAACCCTATTTCTTCTCTAAATGTTCTATGTTTCAAAACCCTCTGCTGTAAAATGGCCAATGGCGGTTGGTACCTTTCCCAAGGACATAGCAAGGGCTGGGGAAAAATGAAAGCACAGGCGTGCTGGGCAGAGGAGGGCAGTATCAAGTGCCTGCGGTACTGGGGACTCACAGGTCCTTCATGAATGCTTGCTGGATGGGTGAAGTAAATGAATGTTCTGGGAGGATTTCAGGTCATTTCCGTATATACTGGGCTCAATTCTAACAGTAGC